TTTGTGAATCAACTGGCACTAGTGCTAGTTTGCTGCTGGTTTAGTAGTCCTGCAATAACTAACCAGGGGATTGCAAGTCACTGACAGTAAAGAGCAAGGAATTTTTAACCAGTAATATAATGACTTTTCTTACAAAGTGTGAGCATGTGTGTTTAAGAAAGAGAAGTCTGTCTAAAAGATTTCTAATTATATCATTTTTAAAATAGCCAATCAATGATATTTCCTTTTTTCTTTTGGGAACACTAGGTTTATATGAGACAGAGAAGGAAAAATATAATTTTGTACTGTATGTGTGGGGGAGAGAGTGCATTAAATGCATTTACCATTATTTTATCTGTCTGCTTGTATCTCTACATACAAATGGTTACATTCTACATTCCTTCCTCTTTCACCTATTGTGTAGCATCAAGCCATCTGTATGTCTGTTCCTGCAACTTTGACACATTTCCTGTGTGTGTGTGTGTGCGTGTACATGTCTTCATTATAATGCGTGGACACATTTTTGTTCAACACCATCATTGTGAGGACATGTTAGCTGGTCCTCACACCTTCCTGGTGCTTTTTGAAAGTTAACATGTGAGTGTCCCCCCAACTATAGTAATAAACGACTGTGTATGTGTGTGTGTGACCCACTTCTTGTTTATAGTGAAGTAATAAGGAAACTCATAGTCAGGGTTTTTGTAAAGAGCCTATTGTCAACTACTATGTCCACACTCCTGATGGGTCAATCCATTTTGAGAAGAATGGCAGGAAATAGAAAGCGGTTGTGTAACCTGGTCAAGGCCTGCTGCCTTACTCAAAATGAAGTTTCATAAAACATGGTAACCTTTCTGTGGTACCATTTATTTTTATGGACAGCTCTCAAGTGCCTCGCTTACACACTGATATAATGTGACAGCTGAATCAGATATTATTTATTACACCTTACAATAACCAAATATTAGGAGACTAACATTATCAAATCAAATCAAATTTTATTTGTATAGCACCAAATCACAACAAAAGTCATCTCAGGACACTTTACAAAGTAAGGTCTAGATATTACTGTTATTACTATTATTACATAGGGAAAACCCAACAAATCCCCCTTAAGCAAGCACTTGGCAACAGTGGGGAGGAAAAACTCCCTTTAACAGAAGAAACCTCCAACAGACCCCGGCTCTTGGTGGGCGGCCTTCTGCCTCAACTGGTTGGGGTGAGTGGATAGAGGAGAGACAAAAGAAGAAAAGCAACAAGACACAACAAACAATCAAACACTGATCAGGTCGATGTGGCTGGTGACTGCTCGTCAGAGACGTAGAGCTCCAGGGCCAGGGCAACCTGCAAAAAAGTACAGGGAGAGAGAGAGGACACGCTACGGAGAGAGGAGACACAAAGTTAGTGATGTGTAATGGTGGCATATAGAAGCAT